AACATAATATAGTACATTGAAAGAGATGTTTATTTTGTGAACAAAATTTTTATTTTTTTAGTTACAGAATAAATTATCATCAACATTCTTAGAATATTTTTAATAAAAATATACAAGTAGCTTGCAATAGACAATTTAGTTGTAATACACTTGAAATATGTCTAAATATATCAAAGTTAATTAAAGCAAAATTTCCAGATCTTTGATATATATATTGCAGTTGTTTTAAAATTAATGGAGGACATATTCATTAAAGAAGTATTTTAGGAAAGCTTAAATTTAATTATAAGAATGCCAGACTATATGATGAAGATATTAATAAATGCTTATAGTGTTAGCAAATTGGCTTTTATATATTGTAAAAAATGAAAATAATATAAAAAAAAACTATCCTTATGTATATGCTAAATCCTGCATTATACTTTCTTCAAGATATATCTTTACTGAAAAGTATTAAAAAAAAATGATAATTTTAATATAAATTATCAGTTACTAATATTTTCTACTATTTCTACTACTTTCACTGCTTCTACTACTTTTACTACTTTTGTTACTTCTACTACTTTCACTACTTCTGCTACTTCTACTATTTCTGCTACATTTGCTACTTCTAGTATTACTCCTATTAATACATTAAATAATATTCAATTACCTACTTTTTTGCATTTCAAATTTTTTTAAAAATGAATAAACTTTCAAATATACATTTTTTTGAATTAAATATTTCCAATAAACAATGGCCTAATGTAGAAAAAAAAATTGGCTGAATGTTTGGAAATTATGAAAAGAATTAAATGAATAAAAGAATACAATTCAAAATCCAACATCTCTTGAAAATTATTATTCAGCTTTTCTATCATATTTAACTGACTTTTTTGAAAATTTATGTAAAGAGATTTTGAAAAATAAATTAAAAATATCAAATGCTCAATTAAAATCTCAAAAAAAAGTATTAAAACAATTTAATGAATAACAAGTGATGAAAATAGTTACCTTTTTTATTTTAGTATTAGTTGGAATTACATTTTCAGGTTTACAAGTTTGGTTTATCCAAATACTTACAAGTTTTAGTCACAAACCAAAACTTATTCAACAATTTCGTCATCTTCTTTTTATTTTACAAATAAGTAAACATACCAATAGTCAAAAAAGAAGACTAGAAAAAAATCGAATAAAATCTATAAATCTATGTCAACGTCTTAACAAAAATAAAAATATTTGGAATTTAGTCGTTATTGATAATATAGATTTTAAAGAAGCAATTTTTAGATGTGAAAACATTTTTGACACAACACATATCAGTACACATACTATACCTAAAATGTTTTTTAACACCAAATGCTTTTTAACTTATATGAAATGTAAATGATGAAAATCATGTTAATTTTCCATTAAAATTATTTAGTATGAATCAAACAATTAGAGATATTTTAAATACCTTTGATTTTATTTTGGATAATCTTCTTAATGTTAAAATAAATTCACAAGGAACAGCAGTTTATCAAACAAATTTCAACATGAGTACTGTATATGAAAAAATTTTGAATTGTGTTGAACATGAATGTAAAGTAGATCTTCCAAATATAGTAATTTTGGAATATAGTGGAACTTCAAATTTAGATAAAGATATTTTTGAATCTATACAAATGTACAAACAAGACTTAGAATTAAAATCAGAGAAATATTTAGATATAATTGAAGATGAAGCAATTTTTTGAAGAATAGTTAAATAGATGGATAATGGCTCTAATTACGTCTGATTCTTAGTCAATAGCACATATCAAAGAATATGTATAGTGCTCTAATTGTTCTTTTTTCAAGTTATGGTAATTTCGATCTTGCAAATTGGTTTGGAGTTAAATTTTTAGAAAAATTAGAATCTGTTGTCAATTATAGATCTACTGTCTATGTTCTTGAATTAATATAGACTGCTGTAACTTTAGCAATCTGAATTTATATAAAAAAAAATATTAATAAAAATAAAATTTGAGAAAATAATATCACAAATTCAGCATTTCAAATTTGGTACCTTTATTATAAATAGGCTAGAATATTTAAAGTCTATCATGTTGATATTCAAGTTAGAAATTATAATTTACAAAAAAATGCTTTAGCTGCATTTAGTGGATTATTTACTTCAGCAGCCAAAAATCATTATGCTAATTCTGTGTATCAATTTATTAATATTTTGGCAAAATATCCTAAGTTGAAGGATAAATTACGCTATGCAGCTTCTATTAGAATTGATCATGATAAAAGATGATCAAGATATTTTTTTACTTACACTGGTCAAAATTAAAAAAATTGGACATGTGAAAAATCAGCCTAAAATCAGCCTAAATTCAGCAAATTATCAAAAAATTGGCCTAGCCGATTAGCATACACTAGAAATCGGCCAAGAATCGGCCAAAATTTGACCTATCTTATTTATAGCTGATTGACGTTTGATTTACATCTGATTGATATACATCAAAAATCGGCTAAAATTCGACCTATCTTATTTATAGCCGATTGGCATACTT